ATATTTTGATAATTTTGCCCTGGGTGGTTTCCTTCACAATATGCATAAGGAGGATCAAAAGTAGAATTACCAACAACAAAATTCTCATAATTCCATGATGTCATGTTTCTCAAATAAACAAATAAAACTAAAATAAAAAAAATAAAAAAAATCAAATAATAAAATAAAAGTTCAAACTTGAAACCTAGCAATATGTACACCTACAACTACACCGTTAGTTCCCCGGCAGCGGCGCCAAAATTTGATCACGCCCAACTATGCCTTATAAAAAGGACAATGCGGTCGTTGCAAATATAATCCGGTTTACAAGTCCGGAGTCGAATCCCACAGAGAACTAAGGTTTAGCTACAGCTGTTCACTATCACCAAGAAGACAAGCTTGAACAATTCCTAACTTATAGATATTAAGATTCTTGTGTTTAACTAATTAACTAACAAATTAAAATAGTAAATTAACAACTAACGATACTGAGGGTTAGAGAAAAGATTAAGGAGGTCTAGAGTTTGATTTCCCCTATTGTCGGAATCCTTCCCTCTATGTCTTCTACAATTTCGCCTAAGTATTCTCTACCGATCATGAGCACTCTTATTACCGTAAATCTCTCCCGAGTAATTACGACAATTTACTATACGCACTCTCCCGAGCTACGCTAGCTGGCTTTTAATACAGCTCACTTCAGATCGCACCCAAGGCTTCGTTATCCCTAATCCCACCTTTAAACCCTTGGTTATTGATCCCTCATATACTCTGGGAGTGGTGTTGTTCAAAAATTACCTAAATATGCACTCTCTCCCGAGTTATGCATACTAAATAGGCACAGCTAATTGAGAGCTCTTCAATCAACCACAATATAAACGTAGTTGAACAAATAGAGAAAAGCTATGGCTCAATTATATAAAAACATACTACAAAAGGTTCTATCAAAACTCTAGATAACAAATTAGCTATTCATAATAGTATGTAAAACTACAATACTAAAAGTCATAACCAACAATGAAAAATAGGAAGAGGAAGGAAAAACTCGTAGAAGAATTCTCCGCCTTGCTCCCAATGTGTTCTTGCCTCCTTAGGTCGAATCTATGTCCAAAATATGTCCCTTCTTCTTCAAAATAGGTTTAGGACCCCTTTTATACAAGTTGGAATAGTGTAGGGACGAAATAAACTTGTCCCGGGCGAAATAGGACTTCTTTTTTACGCCTAGAGGGGCGCGGCCGCGGTCAAACGCGGTAGGATCGCGACCAGACAAGCTCTCTGATTTCTGTCGCGGTCAGTTCCGCGGTGGCAGTTTCGACCTCGTTTTTCACCCTGTTCCTTTTGGAATTTAGAAAAACGTAAAACATGAAAGTTATAACCCTTTGAATTAGATTTCCAACCATATATTGTGGAGCCCAAATGGAGTTTTGAGCAAAATGTTATGTCTATTTTACTAGACAGTGCGTAATATGCCTACTCAAGTCTTCGTTCGTACTTAATTATCAAATTTGACCCCCGAACACGATCCCGGCTTAATTCCTTGAGCTTTTACTCAGACTTAAAGCTTCAAATCACTTAAATTCATTCCATAACATCTATATAGCTCGGAATCACACCTACAAGGCATAAAACACACAATTAGTGCAAAACACTAGCGATTAAAGCGCAAACTCAATTAAAGTGCAGTAAATTCGAGTGTAATAAGCAACTAAAATATGCAATTATAGCATATCATCAGACCGCTGCATCATAAGAAAAGAATGTTGATAAGAAAAGGTAAAGGAAGGAAAACAATCAAAAGAAGCTATTAGTGGGTTTGTACTTACGATTCATGTTCCATTCTTCGGGGAATGGCATCTTCTCGGCCTGGATTATGTCAGAAGTCCTCACTCGGACAAACCGGCCCATCCATCCTCGATCTTTGTCCTCGGCTATGCTCGAGAACAACACCTTTGTGGCCCGGCGCTGAAGCCTTACTAATCCGCCTCGAAAGAGATTGGGGCTGTACAGTCTAATGAGATGATCGAGGGTGAAAGGCATCCCTTTGACCTTGCTCACGAAGAATCGGAGCAAAATAACGATGCGCCAAAAAGAGGGGTGGATTTGGCCTAAGATTATGTGGTATTAGCGGAAGAATTCGATAATAATGGGATCAACGGGACCCAGCGTGAAAGGGTAAGTGTAAACACTTAAAAACCCTTTCACATAAGTAGTAATATCCTCATCGGGGGTAGGAATCACCACCTATGTGTTTTCCTAATGGCAGTCCTTTTTCACCTGCTTGAGATTGCCTTCGATTATCGAGCATATATATCTCGACATGGGCTCACATCGGCCCGGGACCGAAGAGGGTTTTTCAACTTTGATATTAGAGGTGAGGATGCATGACCCGGGAACGTACTCTTCTATGCGTGGTTCCACCTGCGTTTTATCACCGACAGGCCGCGATGAAAAGGCTTTGTCCTTTTGGGGAGCGGTTTTAGACGTTTTCACCATTTCTATGTGAGTTCAGAAAAAAGAAGAAGATGAAATTTGTTGTTTTAGGAGAGGATTGGCAAACAGGATGTAAATAATTTACAGAATTGAGGAACTTGAAGGAAGGAGATTTTTGAAGATTAAGAAAAGTTTTAAAAATAAAGTTTGAGAAAATTATGAAGAGGATCTATTTATAATATTGCTATGACGGTTTGAAAACACTAGTGGCCGACCATTAACTGGCACTAATTAATGGTCTTGGGAATTGTGCAGACGCGACGCTTCAGTCGCCTCCATGGCTTACGTCACGAGGGTGACGTCGTAATCGGTCGATATACAAAATCGAAGACTCAGTTCGTTTCTTCTCATTACACTCCAAGAAACGAGGGGACTATCTGTATACGGGTAAAATTGGGCTTGCCCGATTTGGTCATTATTTCGAGATCAGAAAACTGCATCAAAGGTCAGCCTCGTAATGGATCAGGCCTGAGCACGAAGACAAGGTACCGAGTTCGGAGATCGAGGTACCCATCGAGATCGAGGTCCCGACGATCGAGACCAGATATGATCAGCTTCGAGCGGAACGAAATAACGGAAAGGCGAAATATCCGTAACCGGTCAGAGATCACGGCAAAAATCTCGGAACGGATCAAATCAAGGGCGGTTATTTGTATCAATCATGGGATTTACGTCCGTAATTAGAATTATACCGCAATTAGGATTCCTCTAGTATATAAGGAGGGGTCCCCATCATTTGTAAACACTTACATTCATACAGATCAAAGCAATATAATATTTCTCTATTGCTCATCAATTTATTGTTCTTTAACTATTCTTACTTTACTACTCTCTAGGGTTCATCAGGTCGAGGACACTGTCCAAATATCGGTTTGTTTTATATTCTTGTCAGTTTCATCACTTATCTCTAAATTAATCAATTGGTATTAAGTGAAATCACATATCTTTAAAACCACATTATAAATTTAATTGTTACTCGATTTTTATGGTAAACAAAAGTTGAATTAATTAGTGGGAGTTGCAATCAAGAACAAGAATTTTATAGCGGTTAAATATTCATTATCCAATCGCAAAAGCAAATGGAAGAAAATTGTTAAACATGATTTATATCAGAGCCCCAATTTCGTTTGTTCCAGAGTTTTTGACTTGTATGTCAAAGTTCTTCCAAAATTCTAACCCAATCGAACACATTCACAAATGGGATGGAGAAAGTATCGATTGGTCCTTTTAATTTTGGTTTAAAGACTAAGAGGTGGTAAATTAGAGCCTGTTTGGACATAAGAATTATTTTTACTTTTTTTCGAAAAAAATTGCTTTTTCCGAAGTTAGTATTTAGCCATAAAATTTCTAATTTTTACTTGAAGATGAACTTTGGAATTTTTCGAAAACACCAAAAATCTGTTTTTCGTAATTTTCACTCAGATCACTCATAACAATTCAAAAACAAAAAAAAATTATATTCATGTCCAAACACAACTCTAATTTTCAAATATCATTTTCACTTGGGAAAAAGACTACTTTTTTTTTGGAATTTAATAGTTCTTATGCCAAACGGCCAATTAGAGCCCGTTTGGCAAAACTATCAAAATCTGCTTATTTAAAAAGTATTTTTTGAAAAAGTACATCTGTAAAATAACAATTTATGTTTGGCCAACTTATTTGAGAAGTGCTTTTTGCAAGTACATTGTGCTTAGCCAATTTTTAAAAAAAGTACTTTTAAGTATCAAATTATGAAAAAGTACAGTAAAGTATCAATTTAAAATTAGTATTATTTAAAAAAGAGAAATAAATTTAAATATTAATTATAAAGGAATTCAATTAAAATATAAAACACAAAGTAAAAAATATAAATTAAAGATTCTAACTAATGTAAAATATAGTTATTCCAAAGCAATAACATTGAGTATCTGGTAGTATTACTTATTGTTTACATGACAATTAAAATATATCAAGATACATCATCAATATAAATTAAAAATTTACTCTTATGATACTATTCCAAATAGGAATAGGAGAGAAAGAATAAAAATATGATTGAAATAGACAAAGAGAAGAAAAGTATGGTATAAATTTTTAAAAAAGAGGTTAAATTAATGAGAAATAATTTGAATAATATAAATTTATTGTAAGCTTATTTTTGTTTTGAACAAATTAATTTACTTCTTGGAAGAAGCTAGAATTTGTAGCTTCTCCCACGAAGCGAGAAAACAGCTTCTGCTGCTGGTAAAAAGCACTTTTTCATCTTGGTCAAATACCTCAAATTTTTCAAAAAAGTAATTTTTTTTTGACAAAAAAGTGCTTTTGGCCTCCTAAAAGCTTGGCCAAACAGAATCTTAACTTGGATAAATATGCTATTAATTAGAGTTCAGATTTCATTTAATCCTAGTAAAAAAACTCTATTAACCAAAAATTAAATCTAGATTCCATTTAACATAAGTTGCAAGAATCTCGTTTATAAAAACCAAACAAGAGACATTAATAATTCATCTATCCAACGAGATTACAACAATCTAAACCATAAAACCTATGACTAACTACAATCCATTCAAATTATTGCTAATAACATCAATGGCAGCACAAAGTGATTGCAGCTTTAAACTAGCTTGTTTCAACCCTGCCGGTTCAGCTGGTGCCTGTGAAAAATTGTCATCACAAGAGTCTGGATCATCTAAAGCAGCAGAGGCACGGGCATTCAGACTACCATAGTCTTTAGCCTTCAAAAATCCCGGGCACTCGGCTAAATTATCACTAGCATCCGCGTAGTTCTCTTTGCACGAGCTATATCGCGATTTCAACGTTGGATCAGTTGCTCCTTTAAGAAGGGAATCGATGAGATTGATCGTAGATTTAGTCGTGGATTGTGCTAAATCTATCGCGATAAAGCCAAGTGCTTCGAGATTTGCAGCAGTTTTAGTACGAGGATCGGACCTTAATGCTTGTTCACATATGGTTGGACTTGTAACTTTTGAACAAACATCGCTAACTAAATCTGCCTTTACTATAGTGAATGAGGAGGAGATTATTAGAAGAAGAGCAATGACTAAGAAGTTGTTGAAGGAAAAAGCCATTGTTGTAGTATTAATGCATATCAAGCAATGGGATATCGGTATTTATAAGTCTAAATAATTGATATATAAGGATGGTCATTAATTAAGAAGTACTATTATAGGAATATTAATTTTTTTTGCCTAGTAATTTTTTTGACCTTCTAGATTTTTCTGTTTTCTTTTTATAGTGTGTTTCATTAAGTAATGTACTAATGTAAAGTCACGAAAAAGTTAATGTATAAATTGTAGTGCATAATTCAACATAATTATGATATTTAAGGATCTCTATATAAGGCAAAGCAATAAATATGGATGGAAATGACATTTATGGAATAGTTTGTGTAAGAAACTCCAAAAAATATGAATGTTTGTGATGGTAAAAATTAATGGTATATATGGCTTACTAAGGATTTTTTAACGATTGTACAATCGTTCAAGATGTCTAGGAGTAAATTTCTGTTTTCTCTTCTCTTTTTAAGAAACAAGCCCCTAAAGAAAGTCAGAAACAACAAACTTTAAATGTGCATTATTTTGATAATATTTTTTCCCTTTAGATTAGTTTAAGAAGAATATAAAATTAGATGATGTAAAAGAAGGGTTAGTAACACCGACTTGGTGAGAGAACATCATTTATCGCATTATTGGGAAATAACTTTAAAAAAAGATACATGCATTAATTTGGTCAAAATGTAATAATATTACATATACATGTAGTTTACAACAGGTAAGCACATCCAATCATACCTTTCTATATTATGTTTCTATAAAAGCAAAAAAAAAAAAAAAAAAAAAAAAAAAAAAAAAAAAATTTCCAACACTGATATGTTGATAAACTTTTTTACCATTTAAGAATATATTCATATTGGACAAATTTGTTCTCTATTAATTTTCTTAATGCAAAATATTTTAAAATCAACTAAAATTTGTTAATTAATATCATATCCAAAAATCACGTGATCAACACCAACACTTTTCCCGCCCCAACCTCTGAAAGCTTTCTACAATTCTCACAATTCTCCATCTTTTAGAGAAGAGTTTCTTCTTCTTGTGCCATATTGGCTAGCACATATTTTATGTACTATAATATTTTTTTCAATCATTCTCAGCGTGATTCTTTTTCATGCATATATCATTGGCCTGACGCTTGCCAACATACTCAATAGACAGACGAGCGACATACATTGGCTAGCCGCCCACCGACAGAAAGCTACTTGATACTTTTCCAAGACCATAGAGCTCTAATACCAAAAATTCTCAAGCGAACACGGTCGAATCTACAAATTAAATTTGGGTGCTTCAGCACTCATTAACCTTACCACATGGTATGTAAAGTTATATAGAGAATTTGAGGCATTTGTTATAGAAAATCAGGAAGCACCCAGGAAACAAAAAGGCTGATAGGTGCTTTGGTAAGGTAAGGGTAGTGGTTGCTTTAATAGAGTGAGGGGGGCGGAAGTTCGACTTTCACTCATAACATGCTCAATTTTACCTTCTTCCTTTTGCCCCCAATTAGGTCTTTCTTTTTAAATTTTATCCGGTAGTTACATTTTTTATCCAATATTCCTACTTTATTTATTTTCTTTTTCTGACAACTTTTTCCCTGAATTTTATTTTACCTTTCTCTTTTTTTATTTTTTATTTTCTATTTCATCTAATAATTCTCTATAACAAAGAAGGAAAGAAACATCAAAGTTCGAGCCCTTCTAAAAAAAATAGTTCCTCCAAAATTCATCAAAAATAAATTCTTGCCGGTTGCATTTTTCGTTACACGCGTCTATAATATTAATAGGAGTTTTATTAACTTTTTTGACCACCATGTTTAAATAGTTGTGCACTTATGCTAACGGCACGTCATAAAAAGTTAAGCACCCACGAACCCAAAATTCTGAATCCGCCACTGCAAGCGAATCAACCTCATAAAATAAGAGTTAATCATATGGATTTAAATACTTTAACAAGGAAATTTCAAATCGGTGAAGGGAAAATAGGAATAGAACTTAGATCTTACTGTTTACCCGTAAAACGGTAAAGTTGAATTTGTTACGTGATTTATAAACAAGCGAACTGATTTGATTCAAAAAAAATAAATAAACTAGATTAAAAAAAATTAGCGGTTAAAGTCAAAGAAAATGACGAGCTTGGCTCCGAGAGCAGTTCCTCCGGGGACAAAGATAAGAATAATATAAAGAGCAAGTAAAGTTATTTGATTTATCTAGAGAATATAATGTAGCATAAGTTTTGCCAAAAATTTCGCGTGTTATAGTGGCTGTTGAGTCTATTATTTATAGCTATAAATAGGGAAACAAGATCCTAGGATCAAGCCCCTCTTAAATGACAATAAAGAGGGCCATTGATGAATATGTAACGGCAAGCCATGAATGCAAATATTCTCTGCAATGGCTGCCCATTTAATGCTAGGGAATATTCTTCATTGAATGTTATCCGATGGCAAGCATTTGTCCTGCTCATGTTGATCATGTTCCCTTCGGGGGTCTATCCGATGTCAATTACAGTTGTTGTTCCTGGTGCTAGTTGTTACGCGATTTACTTTCTACTTGTCTCTGGTTTCACGTGTCACGTTGCCATTTGATCATTTAATGTAAACTAATTTTACCATATACAGATAGTCTCCCTGTTTTCCGGTGGCCTATCTTTGTGTCACGGTGAAGTTGGTGAAGATCCCTTTCTTGGCGGGAAATATTCTGAACAGTCTCTAACGCTTGAAATGATGTGCGTCTTCTCGCATTTAATACCCCGAACACGTGTTGCCCCACGATTCAGCAATATTTTTGCCGGTTCTCGAGGTAATCATGACCATGATTTTTGCCGTCTATATCTATACTTATACTCGCCAATTTACCTCTTTCACTTCTAAAGCTTTCATAAGTTCATTATCTTCTTTGCAGTTAACCTTCTTCTACTTTCATCTCTTTCTGATTTTCTTCAAAACACTCCATTATCTTTTTGCTATCATGGCTTCTTTTACTTAGTCTTTCGAGAACTCTGGCCTTCTCCTCGGTAGAGGCCCAAAGAAAAGCAAAGACAAAGAGGTGGATGTTGATGTTGGTCCTCCCACGACAAACACCATCATCCCCAAACATCTGAGCACCGTCAATGACTTCCAAGAGAATTTTCCCTTCATGTATCCACAAACTTGGGATGTTAGCAAGTATCCTTCTTCTATTCGCCCTTCTAGTATTCCTATTATGAAAGAAGACTGTGACTGCTCAGACCTTAAAAATCATTGCTCCTGACCTGATAAAGTGGGTTACCTTCACCAAAGAAGATTTTAAACATGTCTATACGTACCCCTTCACCTTGGGTCCCTTTTCTTTGAGCGGAGGGCTTGACCCCGTGATCTTGGAGTCCTGCCATCGGTACCAGGTCTGCTTGGTACAAGTAGGCCCTTCTACATGGCAAACGGTAGCTTGCCTACGCCAGATGAGCACGGAGACGTGGAAAACCCTAACCCTGGCACATATGATGAACCTATACTCCCCCAAAATTTTCCGTGGGGGAGTAATAAATTTCAGTAAACGTGGCCACCACGCCCTTCTTACCAGTGTGGATGATGACAATAACCGCAGATGGATGGAGCTATTTGTTATCATTGCTACTAGGGATATCATGCCGGCCACAACTCCATCCTTTCCTGAATCATGGAACCTTTCATGTAAGTTTGTAATTTATTCATCTCTTTCCCTTGTGAAAAGACTGCTTCCCAATCAGTGTTGACCTATTTGTTTCCGTTGTTTCAAAGGTTCGGTGGACACCACCAAAGGTTGAAGGCTTGGACCAGTGGGTTTAGAAGATTTTGGATATTACAACGCCAGAAACCCGTTGGTGGAAGGAGATGGACCCCAAATTTGGGTGGAAGGCCAATAACCACGATAAACTGAGTCCTTCTACTTTCTGCTTCTGTATGTACATAAGTAAATTTGCTAACCATAACTTTTATTTTTTTTCAGGACTCCTGTAGGGCTCTGTCACTTGCCTCGAGGTTGAGGTTTTGGCCGATCCCACGGAGGTCGCGAGATTATTACAAAGTACTCTCGCTCGAAGTGGTGCCCTCGGGTCTACTTCCGGTGGGGGCACTTCTTCTCGGAGTCCCCATCTAGAGAACAAGCAACCAAAAAGGCATCGTTCTTCCTCAGTTGGGGATAAGAATAAGAAAATAAAGAATGCCACAACCGAGCCAGCCACGGCCGCAGTGGTCATTAAAGATGGCACGAAAGCTAGTGATGAAGGGGCTTCCGTGAAAAGGAGACAACGATCTTTATTAGCTCAACCGGGTGCTCGACCGGGAGAGCTTAAAATACCAACTGAAGGTGAGATCCGAGCACTTTGGGGTGAAATAGAGATAGTAGAGAATGTCGATTCTCACTTTTCCGACCCCTATTGCTGTTTCTGGTACAGGGAGGTCAGAACCCCGGGCCTCTTTTACCTTCGGTTGATGAGCAACCAATAATCAACATTGCTCCTGTTGTAGCTGCTTCTCAACCTACAACACTAACAACTTTATACCCCTCTACACCAGTTGCACCTTCGCCACCAGCATCCGCTGCATGCCGGCCACAAACCCCCGAAAGGAGGGTGCTTCTCCTCCCCAGTCCCCTGACCACGGGAATTTGTGTCACAATTACTCACCTCCTTCTCCAGATCCCCGAGGAATGAGGAGTGTCACTCTTTTGGTTTAAAGGGGGTGCCATCTGTTGTCCAGGCCGGTGGAGCTTGCCAATTACTTGAAGCCGCTAGCTTCAAAGAAGGATAAAATGAAGATACACTCCCTTTTGAGGGAGTGTATGTTGAACAACGCCATGTATAGTGCGGAAGCGGTACCGTACTTATTCTCTTACTGTTTGTTTTCTTACTTATCCATTATAACAGGGTTTTTAACCTTGATACATGTTTTGTAGGCCAATTTCCTTGCTTCTGAGGGCTTTTAGAGATTGATTTTCGACAAAGAAAGACTTTATCTCCGAACGGGATCAGCTGTTGATCGAAAGGAATCGGCTTGCTGC